ACTTGGCTACTTATTAATTCTCGAAACCACACCTTGTGGAACGATTCTACCCTTGATTGGGTTATATTATTACTAGCAACCGATGGCACTTGACATGGAAGTAGTGTTTTGATAATCCTGAAAGATCATTATGGCACCAAGAACACTCAAGGCAGTTATCCTCACATACTCCAAAGGCTTGTCCTCGACACAAGGCTTGAGAAATGGATAAAAATAATGTGGTATTTTAGCTGCAAAAATAAGTTACTAAAAGAGTTAACTGTTTCTCACACAACAATATAAAGAATTATTTCAAAAACTTGATTCACTTTAATGAGTAGTTTGGCATAAATTTCATTTCAATTGGTGTTGTTTTGAGTACTAACATTACCTTTTATGAGGTCCTTTCTTGTTTCTGAATTATCAGCCATAACATGAAGAATACTCACACAGAGATCAAAATTTTTAGTTAATGAAGACCTCAAAGAAGCTTCATCAAAACCAGTTACAATTTAAAATCTTCACCGAGTATGTTAGTTTTTTAGAATTACATTTTGTGCACACACTTATTGCTAATTGCCACTAAAAATACAGATTTAGAAGGAATTGAGCTATTGCCTCTAATTAAATATCCCTAAAGATCATTTTTGATGTAGTGGTCTTATCAGATATAGTTTATCAGATGAAGTGTATCTCTAATGCATTTCACTTTGATGTTTATAAACAATAGATATCCAGTGATTTCCACGAACTAAAACATTACAACATAAAGCACAATCACGAAATGTGACAGGTCTTGCACAATTTACTAGTATATTGATCATCTCGTGACTATTGAGAACGCATGACATCAGATGGTTCTATTTCTCAATCTTTTTGATTTTTTTGCTACTTCAACACACTATTTTGATGGTATATTACTGAACTGAAACAAAGCAAGAGCATGACAAGCTCGAGTTTCTTCCCTCATAGATAGCATTGAGGGTGAAAACTTGCAATACACTGGTATGATTTCTGGAAATTCATAAGGCAAATTTTATTACGCGTGCATTGACAACTTCTTGAACATTATCATTTTGCCCCTACACTAGATTAAAATATTATAAATATTTAGTTAATTTCATGTTTAAATATTAGTGATCATATATTTATTTTATTATTCCTAAAATTGAGAACAAAAAAAGTTGAAAATTGAAATACCATTTTGCCCTATACTAGATTAAAATATTATAAATATTTAATTAATTACATGTTTAAATATTAGTGATAATTAATTATTACATTGACAAAATGAAGAGTTCATGTATTCAACGTAGGATTGTTTACTCTTTCAAATTTTGATCGAGGTTCATTGCATATATTTAATATTCTTAAAGTGGTTCTTTTTATCTATTTTCCCCTTCAAACCTTCAAATAATATTTAATTTAAAGCTTTAAGATGTCTCTTGGCATTCCTTTATTTTTATCTATATAAATTCATGTTTTTTTTATTTCATGAAACTCACATCCAAAATTATCCTTTTCATTTAATAGTTAAAGTAGTGAAGCCATCAACATCTAAAGTATATGATATATTTGCCTAAATCTGATTATATATATCACTTTACAAAAATAAAGTGATTTTTCTATTTGATTCATACTTTAGTTTGACTAGATGGAGAAAACTTTTGAATTTTGATTGGATATGATATAAGGTGTCGACAAAAACATAGAAAATTATGTGTCAATTTTGTATTTATTTTTTCATTTATATAATGTTATTATTTAAGTCTTTGTAAGGATGCTTATATGCTATTTTTGTCTTCTATGTCTAATTTTTTTATTTAACTATTAGTCTTTTTTAATTTAATTTTGTATAAAATTATTACTATAACATTTATTTGAGATTGCTGCATCTTCGTACTCATTATACACACGTTTTCATTGAATTTTAATCTTCCCAATGAATTGATAACATATTGCATGAGACAAATAAAGGGAATCACTTAGATTTCATTTGAATGAAATTTGTATTATTCATGAATTTGAAAATGCATCCTTCCCTTTTAATTTTATCCAATTATCACACAATTATTCAAATATTATTTCTAATTTTTAGAAGTTTTGCACAAGTTAGCATTGAATTATACATGTACAATGTACGTGTCCAAAGCTAATTTTCAAATACAAGGTTAAATTAAGATCATATTAAATTCTACGTCATACCTATTTTGGGTAAATATGACATATTTTCTTATAGTATAAAAAGAGAAAACTAACCATATCATCATAAATTGTATAAAGACCACTAATAAAAGTTCGCTCATTGTGAAATCTAATGTGCACTAAAAAACATCACGAAAAAATCAATGATCGATGAGCTTTTTTGCTTTTCTATCTCACTCATCAAACAACTATCAAGCACTAGACAACAATATATAACAAACATATATAAAAAAATTAACACTTATATAAAATAGACATATGATAAAATAGTTTTACATATTAAATGTGTCATGTACCTTGTAGAGGCGATGCATGACCTCTTCATGAAGACTAGCATTATAGATCAATAGCACCAATTGATTTCAAGTTAGAGAACCTAAGTCAGTATTTTTCTATGATGGCGATGATGACTATGATCCCAATGTTGATTCAAAAAATGTCTTACAAAAAAAAATTTCGCTTAAACAATCTTCCAAATGAGAAAGTAGCACTAAAATATCGTGTATATTTTTATTGCTATTCAATAAATACGACTTATTTTTCTTTAATGAGAGAACAATGAAGGGGATCATAGAAAATTCATTTGAATGAAATTTATGGTGCGGTTATACTTTATAACAATAATAAATATCGATCTATTGTACTATTCGTGAATTTGAGGATGTATCCTTCTCAAGTGCAATGTATGTGCCAAAATTTATTTTTCAAATAAAATGTTAAATTGAGGTCATGTTGAATTCTACATTATGCACATTTTGGGTAAATATGACATATTTTCTTATAATATAGAAATAAAAAACCAATCATATCATCATAACTTCTATAAAGACCACCAACAAAAGTTCATTCATTATAATGTCCTTTAAAAATCATCACGAATAAAAATCATTAATGATTGATGAACTTTTTTCCATCTCTATCTCACCCATCGAATGACTATCAAGTACAAGACAACAGTACATAAAAATATATATACACAAAAATAACACTTACATAAAATAGATCCTATGATAAAAAATATTATAAATGTGCCATGTACCTTGTAGATTGATGCACAACCTCTTCAAAAAGACTAGCATCATTGATTAATAACACCAACTGATTTTGAGTGTGAAAATCGAAGTCAGTAGGATTTTTCAATGGGGTGATGATACCGATGATCCCAATGTTGATTCAAAAATGGTGATTCGGATAGATTCTTCATTGGAAAGTCTTAAAAAAAATTATTCTAAAAAATCTTCCAAATGTTTGCTTACCTTTAAAAGAAATTGAAGAAGGAGATAAAGAAATTTAGTTATATTTATGGAATCACCTTCGTTTACATGATAGAGCTCAAAATCCTCAAGAAAGATGACGACGATACAATTGAGAGAGTTCAAAGAACAATGATTCAATATTAAAGAAGAAGAATACCATTTGAGAAATTTCTCGGAGTAAACAAAGAAAAAAAAGATTTAGCCTTTCAAATTCCAACCACGTGGCTTCGGCTGGGTGGGAGTGGGATGACCCATTTGGACAAACTAAGATTAAGCAAGTCTTTTTTATTTCAGACACGGACATCTCACTATATATTGGGTCGCTCAACATTTCTTTTGTGCTTTCTCAATTTGGTCTAATGTTTTATCAGAAGTTTAGTAGAGGACCAACCTCAAAATAGACCCAAAGTTTCTCAGCCACAAGACAACATTGCAAAATATCTCATAATATAGTTCTAGAAATGTGTGTTGCACGTTTATCTCGAAATATTTCATATAATATTGTATTTAAAATGACATATATCTATTGGTATTTACTGAAAAAATATGATCATAAGATACATCTTGACAAAACAAATACTAGAATGATAATCATAATTCCATAACAATTTGAGATAGATATGTTGACTTTCAATTAGTACATACATTTTATATGATCTTGAAACAAGAAACATTCATTACATTATTTTTCCAATAATATGGTGTGTATCTTTATTGTGATTCAATTAATAAGGCCTACTTTTTCTTTAATGAGAGAAGAAATAAGGGGATCATTTAAACTTGATATGAATGAAATTTGTGGAGTGATCGGTGGTACTATTCTTGAATTTGAGAGATTACCCTTCTTAAGTGCACTGTGTCAAAATTTATTTTTCAAATAAAATGTTAAATTAAGATCATGTTAAATTCTACGTCATGCCCATTTTGGGTAAGTATGACATATTTTTTTATAATATAGAAAGAAAAAACTAATCATATCATCATAAATGCCATATAGACCACTAACAAAAGTTCATTGAAATCTAAGTCCATTTAAAGCACATCTCTATCGTGAGCCTGTTGTATTACATATTACTGAACGAGTATTATTTAATTAAGCTTAGGATGCATGTGACATACAATAACTACAACAACAACTTATCAAATTTAATCCCACAAATGGGATTTGAGGAGGATGGTGTGTATGCAGATCTTATCATGTATGCAGATGAGCAGATCTTATCATGTGAAGGTAGAAATGTTGTTTCCAATAGACCCTCGGCTCAAATAAAATATAAATATGCCATGAAAGAAAGACATTGACAAAGTTGCAATAGGGGAAACTGCTAAGATAACTTCATTTCAGCTGAACAAAACTACCATTCAGTACACACAAAGCAAGTAAAGCAACTATTCAGTACATAACAAAGCAAAAGTATCAGTCTTAAGGAGGCTCAAGAAGTTCTCGAGCTTTTAACAGTTGAACAGTTAACTTAAAAACATATTTTTCCTCTACTGAGGTCATTATTTGCTGTCTTTTCCTACAGAACAACTTCACTTCTTTCTCTTTCCCTTACCCTTTTAACTTGATGCAGAACTTGATGCATAACTTGATGCAGCCTTCTTTGCAATGCTTTTTCTCTCTTCAATTGGTGGAAAATATGGACATCCATAACTATTGAGATGTAGAACCTGCAACATCCGTGAAGCTTCGTGGTTGTGCTGCAAAGACATACAAAAGTTTACAGTTATACACATGAAGCTGTAAGAGTAGTTGAAAAGATCTATATTTTTTATCGATACAAAAGAGATTTATCGATGGTCACTAAACTTATTCATTGCAACACTAAAGTCACAATTCTTTTCTGTACGAGTAAAGTAACTAACTTTTTGTAACACTAAACTAACAAGACTAGTTGTTGTAACAGTAAAGGAGACCGCACAGATGAAACTCACCAGAAGAGTGAGCCTAAAGGTGTTGTCAAATAGCTGAGGAATTTGTCTTATGAACTCATCACATGGCCTGCATTTTGTAGGTTGATCAAACAATAAATCCAAGAGAGATATAGTTGATACTTAGACAGAAATCGCAATCATGAAACTTGAGCCGCAGGGGCGAGAATATTTACCCGATGGACCTATATATTTTTGACAGACATACATAACACTGTATCACATATTCTAGATGCAGCAAACAAGGTTTTAGAGAAAGTTTCTCAACCACTCATCTTAAGACCTGTACAATCGCGAAGAAGCGTTCAGGCGTAGCAGAACAATAGGTCAGTCCACTCTCTTGCGTCAGAATATTCATAACTATGAGAGTTGCAAGCTGTGGAGGTACAACATTCATTTCATATGAGATCCAAGAAACAGAATATCATCATAAACCAGCGAAGTAATTCAGAAACACTATTAATAAAACAGAATGGACTAACCTTCTGTGACTTTTCGTCACATTCATCTATGCACTTCAGGCACAAAGGAACCACTTCCGATTCCAAGAAGAAACGAAGGGCATGTGATCCATTTGGATCATCAAACTGCACCAGCAAGCAAAATATCAGAATCATGAAGTAGCACTTCCACAAATGAAGAACACGTGTGTATATCTGTTCAAATGGAGGGATACCTTTGTCAGGTCACTGAGAACACCCAAGGTAGTGGTCCTCACACACTCCAAATGCTTATCATCTCCATAGGGCTTGAGAAATGGATAGAAATAACATGGTATTTCAGCTGCAAAATGAAATTACTAAAAGAGTTAATTGTTTCTTACACTACAGTAAAAAGAATTCTTTCAGAAACTTGATTCACTCTAACTAGTTATTTCGCGCGTTAATTTCATTTCAATTGGTGTCATTTCTAAAACTGATATTACCTTTTGTGAGCCCCGTTCTTGTTTCTGGATTATTAGCCATAACCTGAAGAATATAACCATAAAAATTATACGTTGTGCATTCACTTATCAGTTGTCTTACATAAAAATTGCATTAAAACTCTTTTACTCTTTCTAAGAAAATGTGTCACAGGAAGTTAATATGAAGAACATTAATACCATAAAATTTTTAAAAAATAAAAATAAAAATACTCAGGTAGGTGTGTTTTTGGTATGAGTGGAATTTTTTTTTGGGAAGTATTTTAATTTCTAGTGTTTGGTTTTGTGATTGAAAAGTACTTTTCAAAAAATTCTTTTGTTTTTTTGTCGAAGTGTAGAAAACACTTTTTAGAAAATCAGAAATTGACCCAAAAAACAAACTCGATATTTGATCCAGAACTCAACCTTAATATCTAAATTGAGACACGATCCCAACACTCAAACCTCGACACGACCCCAACGATCGATTCAAGATCCAACCGCGACTTCATACACTAGATAAAATTCCAAACCGGTACATGGTCCCGACTCAAGACTTGACTTCGGAACCTGGACCTGACAAGAAATCCAACTTGCAAATCAACATATGACTCAAACATATGACCATAATGATCGATTAGGGTTCCAACCTCGTCTCTTAAACCTGAGACCCAACTCCGACCCCTGATTCAGAATCCAATCTCGACACCTAGCTCGAAACTCCACCCCTACACCCGACCCAAATTTGATCTCAAATCCTGATTCAAGACTAGACACCCAAATTATTTTGGATCCGAACCCGAAACACGATCCGACTTTAGATCGACTTTCAAATCGGGACTTGATCCCAACTTTTGACTTAGGATCCAACATTCGAACTGGGATTTGATATCGACACCTGATCCATTACCCGACTTCCAAATCGACTTCTGACCCTGATGATCGATCTGAAACCCAACCTCGACTCTTGACCTAAGATCCAACTCCAACACATGACTATGAATCCCACCCTAAAACTTAGCTCGAGACTCGACTTCGACACACAACCTCAAATCCTGATTGAGGACCCGACACCCAAATTGGGGTTTGACCCCGACCTGATTCGAGACCACAGAGTTGGATCTCAAATCAAGGTCGAGAGTCAGGTTTCAAATCGAGAATCAGGTCATATTTCGAATAAGTATCGGAATTCAGTTCCCAAGACTTGAGTTACGGTGGAAAGTTGAGGTGTGAGGTTGAATAAGTTTAAGAAAATGTTTTCTTTACTTTTTGGAGGTAAGTTATTTTTCTTAAATTTGAGAAAAAATGTTAATTCGAAAAACATTTAGGAACTGTTTGATGAAGTGTATAAAAAATAATGTTCAATAGAGTGTATCATTAGTAATGCTTGGATTAGTTATGCATACATTATTTCCTACATGTAACAAGTCTTGCGTAATTTACTAGTACATTGATCATCTCGTGGTTATTGAGAACGAATGAAATCAGGTGGTTCTGTTTCTCAATCATTCTAACCTTTTTTTGTTACTTCAATAGAATCAATTTATAACACACTATTTGGTGGTATATTACTGACCTGAAACAAAGCAATAGCACAACAAACTCGAGTTGCTCCCCTCATAGATAGCGCTGAGGGTGAAAACTTCTTATACACAGATTTGACTTCCTGAAATTCATAAGAAATATTATTACGGGCATATTGACGACTTCTTGCACATCAAAATGCGAGTGTTTTATATGTTTCCGATTATATTTCACATAACTTAACACCTTAAATTTTTAAATGAGAGGTCTCTAAAAATTCAATTTAAGATTATCCAACAGAATATAAAACCGCAAAAATTAAAAGAGGTATACCAGCAAAAGCATGTAAACTATGTTGAAGTTGTTCCACAGCAGCAGAGCTAGATTTTTGCATGAATCTTTCTTCTGAAATATATAAAAGACACCAACTCAGAATATGACAATTACCAACACTTTTAGAAGATTAAAAAAGGACTAAATTTGTTTTGCCAAATGCTTAAAATGGGAAGTGTTGTTTGTCAAAAATGCTTATCAATACTTTTGAAGTGTAACAATTTATGTTTGACTAATTATATGAAAATTAGTTATGACAACATTAGATCAAAAATTTGTGCTTTAACTTATAAGTTCAAAAGTGTTCTTTTTCTATATATGAAAAATGGATCCTCAAATTGGTTATTCGTGCACTTCCGCTCAAATAAAATTTGGTTGTGAGGTCAATCTAACACAAATCAGTAGTTAGATTAAGATATTTCTAAGATGGTCACTCAATTAAGATTTTTTAGGAGAAGGTCAACTTTCTTTTATATCCGCAGTAAAGTGATTTTGTTGACTTTCAATAAGTACATACATTTTGTATGATCTTGAAACAAGAAAACATTCGTTACATTATTTTCCTAAAAACATGGTGTATATTTTAATTATAATTCAATAAATAAGAATTAATTTTTCTTAAATGTGAGAAGAATGAAGGGGATCATTTAAACTTCATCTGAATGAAATTTGGGGTGTGATTGTACTTTATAACGGTAATAAATATCGATTGATTGTACTATTCATAAATTTGAGAATGCATCCTTCCCCTTGATCAATTTTGTCCAATTCATCACATAATTATTCAAATATTATTTGTAATGTTTTAAGAAGTTTTCACTAATCAACATCGAATTATACACGTGCAACATACGTGAGAAAATTTGATTTTCGAATAAAATGTTAAATTGTGGTCATGTTTAATTCTACATCATGCCCATTTTCGGTAAATATGACATATTTTATTATATTTGTAGTTATATTTGTAGCTTCGCCTTTGTTGACATGATGTAGAGATCGATATCCTCAAGAAAGATGAAGATGAACAATTGAGATAGTTGAAGTCAGTAGTAAATAAGATGAATAGAGTAACGCTCTTGGAACTTTTTCGGAGTAAACAAAGTGAAAGAAGCCTTTGCCTTTAAAATGCCAACCACGTGGCTTCAGCTGGGTGGGACTGGACTGACCGTTTTGACAAACTATCTTGGGCCGCCCAGCATTTCTTTTGGGCTTCACTTTGTTCTAATAATATAAATGATACTTCATAAATAGAATTCCTTTTTACACTCTTCTAAAATAAATTTTCATATGTGGTTTTTGGCATAAAATAAAATATATGATTTTTTTTGAAACTACAACTACCTTTCCGCTCAAACCCAGACATCCCTGGCATAGATATGAAAACTATTCTCAAAATGACATCAAAATCAATCATGTCAAAGATCAATAAGTTTTTCAAGATTTTATATCCCATAAATGTAATTCTATTACAATTTGCGATAGATAGATAAATTTGTTGACTTTCAATTAGTACATATATTTTGTATGATCTTGAAACAAGAAAACATTCATTACATTATTTTTTTTCTAAAAATATGGTGTATAATTTAATTATAATTCAATAAATAAGAATTACTTTTTCTTAAGTGAGAGAAGAATGAAGCCGATCATTTAAACTTCATGTGAATGAAATTTAGGGTGTGATTGTACTTTATAACGATAATAAATATCAATTGATTGTACTATTCCTAATTTTTAGAATGCATCTTTCCCTTTGATCAATTTTGTCCAATTCATCACATAATTATTCAAATATTATTTCTAATGTTTTAAGAAGTTTTCACTAATCGAATTATACACGTGCAATATACGTGTCAAAATTTGATTTTTGAATAAAATGTTAAATAGGGATCATGTTGAATTATACATCATGCCCATTTTTGGTAAATATGACATATTTTCTTAAGATATTGAAAAAGAAACTAATCATATCATCATAATTTCTATAAATACCACTAACAAAAGTTCATTCATTGTGAAATCTAATGTCCAATTAAAAAAATCACGAAAAAATCAAATATCAATGATTTTTTTTAACTTTCTATCTCACCCATCGAATAACTATCAAGTAGAAAACAACAATATATAACAAACATATATACAAAAATTAACACTTACATAAAATAGATCGTATAACAAAAAGTACTGTAAAAATTAAATGTGTCATATACTTCGTAGAGGTGTTGCATGACCTCTCCACGAAGACTAGCATCATCGATCAATAGCACCAATTGATTTGGAGTGAGAGCACCCAAGTCATTAGGACTTTTTTTTGATGGAGATGATGACGATGATCCCAATGTTGATTAAAAAATGGTGACATTTGGAGTAGAACTACAACTACCCTTCCACTCAAGACTGATATCCCTGACATTTAGATATGAAACTATCTTGGCATGCTCGTCAAAATCAACATTGTATGAAGACAACAAAATTATCCCCAAAATGACATCAAAATTAACCATGTCAAAGATCAACAAGATTTTCAAGATTTTATACCCCATAAAAGTCATCACACAAAAATAATAGACTCTATCAACAATCACAAAATCACCCAAAGGAGTAGAAATATGAATTCGAACATCAAGTGATTCAAAAATCATACTCAAACCCACAACAAAATAAATAGGCACGTATGAAATGGTGAAATCAGGGTTAAATAAGGATGTATACATTCAATCATAGACTAGAATAATACCTATGATCACTATATCAGATACTTCTGCCTCACTGTACCCTAAAAAACATAGAAGTGAGTCTGACCACCTGAGTACGAATTGTCTCGACTGGACTAAGTATTGATGTCTTGACCATCATCTCGAATAGGATAGATACCATCCCTATCTGTTGTGTAACCACCCTATCCAAATGGAGGATGATATCTAACATACGAGTTGTTGGAACTAAGGCTCGAGAAGCATGTTGTTGAACTACCTACTTACCATGTCTGAATTTGGGGCATAACATGAGGCTCTCCTCAAGATGTTTTGATGATTCCTCACCAGTGTAGGGACCCGGTCCTCTGTAGAATATGAAGAACCAACTTTATCTGTGAAAAGTACAACCAATTGTAAAAAATTATCTGTGACAGAGAAAGTTGGTGAGGAGCAGAGTACTTCTCCAATCACAACTGACTAGGTTGTTTTTGTTTGATGGATAACAAATCATGAGGATATATATATCAAACATAATACAACATAACAACTCATTCATTTAAAAGGAAACCATACCAACAAACATCAAAACAACAAGATATTGATCAAAGGGCTTTTAGTTCTTCTTGTTATTTGTTGTTTTCATATTTTCTTGTAATTGTTATAAAATTGTCAGATTTGTTTCGAACTTGATGAAAAAATTTCAAACCTTGGATGTTTCATTGCAAGGGCTTTAGTTACGAGTAACTTAGGTTCTTACTGAGCAGTGTTGTGAATCGGCAAAGGAGATTTGGGACTGTCTTCAAACTACTCATGAAGGAACCAAGAAGGTGAAGGAATCAAAGGTGGACATGCTTACTACTCAATATGAAAACTTTGTGATGAAGAATGGTGAAACTATATTTGAAATGAATCTCGTTTCACTGCCATCATAAATGAGTTTAGAGGTCTAGGAGAACCTATACCTATGTGCAAGCAAGTTTGGAAAATCCTCAAGATTCTTCCAAAAACTTGGGAAAGCAAGGTGGATGCAATTACTGAGGCAAAAGATCTAATGACCTTGCCTATGGATGAGGTTATTGGAAATCTGCAGACCTATGAGTTGAATAGGCAGCAAGGAGCAACTTGGAAAGAGTCAAAGAAAGAAAAGAGTATTTCTTAGAAATCTTCACAAAGCGAGATGACTGAAGAAGAAACTAAGATGACATACATGACAAAGATGTTCAAAAAGATTATCAAAAAACATGGGCTTCCAAAAGAAAGGAACAACCAGCAGAGTGGCAGCAGCTAATGACTTATGTCACAAATGTGTTAAGCCAAGTCACTTTATGAGAGACTGTCCAAGTCAAAAACTAGAATACCATGAAGTGAGATATTGTTAGAAGGAACTGGTCCCAGACAACTTTCGAAGGAAACCACATGCTGATCAGATGGTAAAAAGAGCCTTTACTGTATGGGATGATGATTCAAGTGAGTCTGGGGAAGAAGTTGAGTTGCACGAAGATGTTTCTATGATGGATATTGAAGATAATAAAAGCATATTCAACTCAATCTTCTCATTAATGCAAGATAATATGATGAGGATGATTCACCTGAGGTAACTTTTTTGAATTAAAAGATAAATCTGGGAAATCTTCTACTGAAAGTCTGAGGAAACTTGCTGCTTTACTAATTGATTCTGTAGATGAGTGGTCTACTGAAAACTTAATGTTGACTGGAAAATTATGTTTATTTCAAAATGAAAATGCATATTTTCTAACACAGATTTCTGAAATAGGTAGAAGAATAGGGATACTGGAGTCTAACAACAACGTTGATAAAGAAGAACCTAGTACCTCTAAACATGATAAAAGAAAACTTAGCATTTATGAGGAAGAATTGAAGGATAAGCTTAAATCTCTGAATTTGATTAGTTGCTTCTCTTGAAATAAATTCTCAGCTAAGGAAAGATCTTAAGAAAATCAAAGAAGAGTTAAGTCACTCCCTAAAATGGACTGACTCTTCCAAGATTTTCTCTAATCTCTCTCTGCAAAGTTTTAATGGGAAAAGAGGTCTAGGGAGCAAAAGAATAGAACAACCATATAATCCTCATGGAAAATATGTGTCTGTGGTTGCTAATTTCTTATGTACTCATTGTGGAAGAAGTGGACATGTGAAAGAAAGGTATGATAAATTAAAATATGCTAAGCCGAGGCATGTGAAGTTTGTGAAATCAGAAAGTCGTCACACTAACAGGGAGCAAGGACCTGGTTCATGTGATGAATCTCTTTTCCATTTTAGTAAAAACTTCTCACCTCCTTGGAATGGAAGATTTCTTGTTAAGACTTTTGATAGTTACTGGGAACTCCGCATGATGTGGGTTCCTAAAACTAAGAAGTAATTATTGTATAGAAGAGATGAAAGAGTCAGTGCTCGTACATGGATAGTGGATGCTCTAGGCACATGAAAGGGGATACCTCAAACTTCCTCTCTTTGGCACACAAGGGTGGTGGTGTTTCCTTTGGTGGTGGAAAGAAAGGTTCTATTCTTGGAATTGGAAAGATAGGAAAGTCTGACAGTAACTCAATCAACAATGTTCATTATGTGAAAGAGCTCAAGTACAATCTTCTGAGTATATCTCAGATGTGTGACAGAGGAAATGAAGTCAAGTTCATGGCTAATAATTGTTTGGTTACAAACTGCATAACATGGAAGGTGGTGATGTCTGCTACAAGAGTAAAAAATATGTACGTAGTAGACCTAGAATCCATTGAAGGAGATGATCTTTCATGTCTAAGTGCTCAAATTGATGAATCTGATCTATGGCACAGACGTCTTGGTCACATAAGTTCTACTCTTCTTAACAAACTTGTTGCAAGGGACCTGGTCCGTAGACTTCCCAAGGTGAAGTTTACAAATGATAAAGTTTGTGATGCTTGTGCGAAGGGCAAACAAACAAAGTCCTCATCAAAGGCCAAGAAAGGAGTCAGTACATCAACACCCCTTGAACTGCTTCACATGGACTTATGTGGACCAATAAGAGTGTTGAGCAGACGAGGTAGGAGATTTATTCTTGTTGTTGTGATGATTTTTCCAGGTATACATGGGTGATGTTTCTGAGAACAATGAATGAGACAGCTGAACAATTAAGTTTTTTTAAATCATAATATTAATTTATTTTTTGAAACTTAGTCATTTTTTTTCTTTTTCTTATATTTTTTCGTAAAACAATATCAATATGTACCTTGTGGTACAATAATAGCCTTTCACGAAAAATTTAAGTAATAGACATCGCTATGAGTGGCAGAGCCACATATATTCAAAAAAGTCAATTAACACCAGTTAATGGAAAAAGTATATACACTATGTGTTGTGTTAATCCCTAAATATTATATCAAATGATTAATGACTATTCAAATTCATAATTTGAGTAAATTATCTTAAAATTAACTTTCCAGCAAAATATTCAATTAATAAACCTCATTAATTTCTTCTTACTTAAAAACAAAAGAAGAAATATTCATTTAATGATTGTAATTAAAAGTCAAATTAAGCAACTTCAGTCAAAGTTCAATTGATTCTATTAATAAATATTTATAATCCGTGGTAAAATTTATTCAAGACATTAGTAACTAACATTAAATATCACTATTTCAATCCATAGTTCACACTCTCTCTATATAACCTCCGAAGCATTTCTTGGGAAAACATATACACATATAATTTTAAAACATATCAAATG